TCAGTATTCTGAATTTCTTAGTTGTGTTGAACAATTATGGTGAAATCTACGATGTTTCTTTATATTTTTTTTATCTTTCTCGATTGTCTCCTGGGATTCAAAATTTAGATTCTTAACAACACTGGCGAGTCCTGACGAAACAGCTGTAAGGTAAAGTTCGATTCTTATTGCATGATTCTAACGCATCTATATCTAATTTTGTATAGAGAGATGCTAATCCTGGACGGTTGACAATACTTATGAACTCAGTAACCTTATAACATGAAAGAAACATTTTAATTTATATTGAAAAAGTAAATATAGACATGTACTGGGGGCAGTATATAAAAATTATGAAACATAATGAATTGTGGAGCCAATGCTTATATTTACATCTTGACATTTCTTTCGATCAATTTTGATTTTCCTCAGTTGCCTCTTCGATTTCCATATTTAGGCCCTAAGCATCACTGACGAGTCCTTCAAGGATGAAACAGCTGTATGATGTAGCATCCCTGACGAGTCCTTCAAGGATGAAACAGCTGTTTGATGTAGTACCACTGACGAGTCCTAGAAGGACGAAACCGCTGTATGATATAGCACAGATGACGAGTCCTAGAAGGACGAAACACAGCTGTATGATGTAGTATCACCGACGAGTCCTAGAAGGACAAAACAGCTGTATAATGTAGTATCACTGACGAGTCCTAGAAGGACGAAACCGCTGTATGATGTAGCACCAATGACGAGTCCTAGAAGGATGAAACAGCTGTGTGATGTAGTATCACTGACGAGACCTAGAAGGACGAAACAGCTGTATGATGTAGTATCACTGACGAGTCCTAGAAGGACGAAACAGCTGTATGATGTAGTATCACTGACGAGTCATAGGACGAAACAGCTGTATGATGTAGTATCACTGACGATTCCTAGAAGGATGAAACAGCTGTGTGATGCACTTTACTTTATAATTTGACTCTACTATATACACGTAATCTTTCAAAATTTGTATTGAAATGTGCTATCCATTTGTTTGTCTTTTGTACAAGGTTTAGAACAGTTGTTCTTCTGAAAAATTCCTGTGACTGAGAATGTAATACAAAAACGCCAAGTTAAGACTAAAGGATCAAATTATCCATAGGTACATGTTCCAATAAATTAAAAATAAGTTTACTGCAGAGAATGAGCAATACTAGAACATTGCAAACACCATGACATCAATTACGATACCATATATCTGTCAAATTTGTGTTGAAGGGAAATCTCATTAAGGAATTTATCTGATATCTAGCTAAATATTTCTAAAATATTATAACATCTTTGGAAGCCAAGGAACATAAAAATATAAATCTATACTAGCTTTACTATACTACCTTTACTATACTATCTATACTACCTTTACTATACTATCTATATTACCTTTACTATATTACCTTTACTATACTACTACCTTTACTATACTATCTATATTACCTTTACTATATTACCTTTACTATACTATCTATACTATACTACCTTTACTATATTACCTTTACTATACTATCTTCACTATACTATCTTTACTATACTACCTTTACTATACTACCTTTACTATACTACCTATACTACCTTTACTATACTACCTTTACTACCTTTACTATACTACCTTTACTATACTACATATACTACCTTTACTATACTACATATACTACCTTTACTATACTACCTTTACTATACTACCTATACTTCCTTTACTACACTACCTTAACTATACTATCTATACAACCTTTACAATACTACCTTTACTATACTACCTTTACTATACTACCTTAACTATACTATCTATACTACCTTAACTATACTACCTTTACTATACTACCTTTACTATACTACCTTAACTATACTATCTATACTACCTTTACTATACTTATACTACCTTTACTATACTACCTTTACTACACTACCTTAACTATACTATCTTTACTATACTACATTTACTATACTACCTATACTGACTGTACATCCACATCATCATCTCTACTATCATCTCCTCATCAGTATTGCTAATGAACTGTTGTGTTGGACATAAGGTAAATGTGTTGATAGTACGTGTTACCTTGAATAAACGAATAAAACCCTCATCACACACATGTACGAAAAACGTGTATTTTTACCTTGAAGTACATAATGATATTACTAACTCTAAGAGAAGTGACCCTGATCATATTAGTAGTAAAAAGTCCAATAATGGTGGGAATATTTTAGTTCAGAATACATAGGATATAAACACACTGATCAAAATTAAAAGAAAAATTTCAGAAAAAAGAAAATATCTGGTGTATCCCTGACAGCCATTGGTATGCGCCATGATCTTTATTGTACTATTAAGAGTTTTGGATGGACTTTTCCCACTCACTATCTATTATACTAAATATGATAAATATAACATACTGTTTGGGAACATATTAGTAAATTCTTAGAAAGTTCATATCAGTATTTTCTCTATCAGAGCAATAGACTACAGCTCAAAAAATCTTTTTAAGATACAAACAAATCTGTTACTTAATATCTTTCTCGATTAGTAAAACAATTCAATACACACAGCTACTAAACATAAATACACAGTCAATACTACGCTATAGCGACAAAGAGGTTTAACTCGTAAAAAGATCTATATGGCAACGGGTGTAGAAAAAAAACATGTAAAGGGTTACATACAGTGTTCCCGGGCTGCTGCCTATCGACCATACCTGATCAGTTTCAAAATGTCATTTGTAGAAGCACGCACAATGGTCCATATTAGAGCAATTGATGGGAATGACGAGATGGAATGCCATAACGAACAGAGGACGAAACGCGACTTGAAAAACCCACTATCAGATGATGGCGAGATAAAAAAAAACAAAGCATTTTAACACTTTGTTAAATATATGTTAGAAGCTAATGTTCTACGTACAAAATAAACATTCTGATTAATGCAAAAAATATATATAGATGTAAAGTTTCTCTTTCATCACACGGTATCGTCTCAAGAATCTGGACACAATAGCAGTATATCGTACGCTTTACATGGAAGATAATTGTCAAACCCTGTACTCATGACTGTAGATGTTCGTAGTACTCTCCTCAGATGTGTAGAATACCAGCCACCGTGTCGTGCACTGATCAATGTAGATCTGTCATAAATTCATCAATGAAGATGTGTCGTTCTCTCTTCACTGTAGATGTGTCGTTCTCTCTTCACTGTAGATGTGTCGTTCTCTCTTCACTGAAGATGTGTCGTTCTCTCTTCACTATAAAAATGTCGTTCTCTCTTCACTGTGAATGTATGTCGTAGTCTCTTCACTCTATACATGTCGTATTCTCTTCATTGTAGAAATATCGTTCTCTCTTCACTGTGAATGTATGTCACATTCCCTTCATTCTAGACATATAGTTCTCTCTTCACTGTAAATGTATGTCACATTCTCTTCACGTTAGACATATCGTTCTCTCTTCACTGTGAATGTATGTCACATTCTCTTCACTTTAGACATATCGTTCTCTCTTCACTGTAAATGTATGTCACATTCTCTTCACTCTAGACATATCGTTCTCTCTTCACTGTGAATGTATATCACATTATCTTCACTCTAGACATATCGTTCTCTCTTCACTGTAAATGTATGTCACATTCTCTTCACTCTAGACATATAGTTCTCTCTTCACTGTAAATGTATGTCACATTCTCTTCACGTTAGACATATCGTTCTCTCTTCACTGTGAATGTATGTCACATTCTCTTCACTTTAGACATATCGTTCTCTCTTCACTGTAAATGTATGTCACATTCTCTTCACTCTAGACATATCGTTCTCTCTTCACTGTGAATGTATATCACATTATCTTCACTCTAGACATATCGTTCTCTCTTCACTGTAAATGTATGTCACATTCTCTTCACTCTAGACATATAGTTCTCTCTTCACTGTAAATGTATGTCACATTCTCTTCACGTTAGACATATCGTTCTCTCTTCACTGTGAATGTATGTCACATTCTCTTCACTTTAGACATATCGTTCTCTCTTCACTGTAAACGTATGTCACATTCTCTTCACTCTAGACATATCGTTCTCTCTTCACTGTGAATGTATATCACATTATCTTCACTCTAGACATATCGTTCTCTCTTCACTGTAAATGTATGTCACATTCTCTTCACGTTAGACATATCGTTCTCTCTTCACTGTGAATGTATGTCACATTCTCTTCACTTTAGACATATCGTTCTCTCTTCACTGTAAATGTATGTCACATTCTCTTCACTCCAGACATATCGTACTCTCTTCACTGTATAAATGTACTGTCTTCACTGTAGAAATATTGTACTGTCTTCACTTTAGAAATGCTACTCTCTCTTCACTGTAAATGTATGTCGTACCTTCGTCAATATAAATATGTCGTAAATTCGACAATGTATATATGTGTAGTATTCTCTTCACTAAAGGCGTGCGTCGGACTTTCGACACTGTAGATGATTCGTAATATCGTCACCGTAGATGATTCATCATTCCGTCGCAGTAGATGCGAGCGATACTCTCGTCACTGCAGATATGCCGTACATTCAACACTGTTAATATGTGTTGTGCAGTCGGCATGATAGATTTGTCACTCACTCCTTACTTTCAATGTGTGTCACTCACGCCCCACTGTCAATGTATGTCACTCACTCCTCACTGTCAATGTATGTCACTCACGCCCCACTGTCAATGTGTGTCACTCACGCCCCACTGTCAATGTATGTCACTCACTCCTCACTGTCAATGTATGTCACTCACGCCCCACTGTCAATGTGTGTCACTCACGCCCCACTGTCAATGTATGTCACTTACTCCTCACTGTCAATGTGTGTCACTCTCTCCCCACTGTTAATGTGTGTCGTGCACTCCTCTCTGTCAATGTGTGTCCTGCCCTCCTCACTGTGGATGTATCATACACTCGTCAGCGTAGATATGCCACACTTCCGTAAATAAAGATGTTTGTCGTAAGGTTGCCAAGGCATCAGTGACCCACTCCAAAAACGTTGGTCTTGGCACGCGTCCAGAGACTGCCTTGATTACGATAATACTCGTACACAGAACCAACTGTCTTGTTGTTAGGACCCCATTCTTGGTTGGGGTTCAACAAAACCTTCAGTCTCTGCAACAGTAAAAGACAAATTTTGGTTGTTTATCTGTAGACGTTTGTCTTAAAAACAACAAAATTCAAATGAAGCATGGACAAAACAACAACAGAAATATGAAACTCCTAAAGAATAAGACTAGGTGTTCCGGAAGGGTAACGTAGTCGTCTTCTTTTACGGCACTCGCCGTGTAAATCTTAGTCGATCAAAGAAAGCAACGTAAGCAAATGTGAACAAGGTAAACAACAACAAAACCAAATCACACAATACGAGCATCAAAGAAATAGAGTATTTCCAAATGAGAGCGTCATCAGGAGAAGGATCACGAGTTGTCGGCGGGAGAAGAGAGGGATCAGGAGTCGTTGGCGAGAGAGGTGAAGGATCAAGAATCGTGGGCGGGAGAGGAGAAGGATCAGGAATCGTCGGCGGGAGAGGAGAAGGATCAAGAATCGTCGGCGGGGGAGGAGAAGGATCAGGAGTTGTCGGCGGGAGAGGAGAAGGATCAAGAATCGTCGGCGGGGGAGGAGAAGGATCAGGAGTCGTTGGCGAGAGAGGTGAAGGATCAAGAATCGTGGGCGGGAGAGGAGAAGGATCAGGAGTTGTCGGCGGGAGAGGAGAAGGATCAAGAATCGTCGGCGGGGGAGGAGAAGGATCAGGAGTCGTTGGCGAGAGAGGTGAAGGATCAAGAATCGTGGGCGGGAGAGGAGAAGGATCAAGAATCGTCGGCGGGGGAGGAGAAGGATCAGGAGTTGTCGGCGGGAGAGGAGAAGGATCAAGAATCGTCGGCGGGGGAGGAGAAGGATCAGGAGTCGTTGGCGAGAGAGGTGAAGGATCAAGAATCGTGGGCGGGAGAGGAGAAGGATCAGGAATCGTCGGCGGGAGAGGAGAAGGATCAAGAATCGTCGGCGGGGGAGGAGAAGGATCAGGAGTTGTCGGCGGGAGAGGAGAAGGATCAAGAATCGTCGGCGGGAGAGAAGGATCAGGAGTCGTCGGCGGGAGAGGAGAAGGATCAAGAATCGTCGGCGGGAGAGAAGGATCATGAGTCGTCGGCGGGAGAGGAGAAGGATCAAGAATCGTCGGCGGGAAAGGAGAAGGATCACGAATCGTCGGCGGGAGAGAAGGATCAGGAGTAGTCGGCGGGAAAGGAGAAGGATCACGAGTCGTCGGCGGGAGAGGAGAAGGATCAGGCATCGTCGGTGGGAGAGGAGAAGGATCAAGAATCGTCGGCGGGAGAGAAGGATCAGGAGTAGTCGGCGGGATAGGAAAAGGATAAATAGCTACCTTCCTGTGATATCTCTTCAATATTGAACAGTATGAACTTAAGATTTTGTTGGGGATTTTTTGGGGGTTTTTTTCAAACCTTGTTCGATTTTTTTTCATTTTCTTCAGTCGCCTTCTATATTTCAGAAATTTAGGCTCATAGCATCGCTGACGAAGTAGAAACAATGGTATAATGCAGTTTATTTCCTATACTGTATCTAATTCTAAAGGGCTATTCAGTTTGTATGTCGTTTGTAAAATACAAGGATATTTAAAAGAACCTTACTACTTATCTTAGACGGTATGACGAAGCTTTATCTCGGACAGGAGAATTTTCTTTATTACCTACCTTTGCTGGTGATCCTGATGTGCAGTAGAACCCATGAAGGGCCATCACTGGGAGGGGTACTATGGATACCAATCCTATAACAACCCCAATAGCTTTAGCGTGTTCAGGAAACAAATACCCATTGTGAACAGGTGGTTTGAAGGCAAGAACTGTTCCAAGCAAGGCTATCTGTTGATAATAGGGTTGAAAGATTAGCGTAAAATTATGTTAAGGATAAATTTCACCTCCACATAACATATTGAGTATAGAAAAAACATAACATAATGGCATGTGTTACGTCAACTAGAATCCATATTCCAATATACTGTTATTTGAACAGGGAATAATGTCTTTCAACACTGGCACCAAACAGATGACATTAGATTTGATTACATTAGCTTTGATTACATTAGATTTGACACAAAAGGTCCAAAATGTTTAAAAAATAATAAAAAAACCCACTTTTTTCTCAATAATAGTTTATGACGAATCCATGAAGTAATAGAATATATATATATATATACATACACACAAAGAAACCCTAAAACCAAATGTCAGTATCCTGATACACGTATACAGATATGTAATAGTTAACTCCCTCAGTACTCCCCAATTAAATATCAGTAGCCTACTGCACTTATAAATGCTGATACCTTACAATACTTCTACCAAAATCTTGGATTTGACATTAAAAGTCCAAAACATTTAAAAGAAAGCAGGCTTTTTAAGAAACTAGCACTGACGCTGATGCCGGGTTGAAGTATAAGCTTTCGTTGTCTTTGACAAGCGAGCTAAAAACAAAACAGCTACCAATGTATTGAAGCGGAACATCACGCGTACGTGATCCATGTAGAATTCATGCTTAAATAGTTGAATATTTTTAAGTGATTTTCATCTTCAGGTTGTAGGAATGTGTAAGTAAATGATGCGAACATATGACGCACATATTGCTGAATTTGAGTACGCTGTCAATGCACCGAACGCTAAAGAAATTATACATGAAAATTATATATATGTATAATATCTAAAATTCTCCAACGTGAACAGACAAGATAAGTCTATCGGACTAAGATTACTTACAAAGAGGGCTATAGGTGTAATGATACACCACGATAACCTGATGACGTAGTGGACACTCCTACCCGTCATCATCTGGATGTCATGACTAAACCGCTCCGCTCCTGCAATCAATCATTACTCATTAATTTACACTCGAAGTGTATTACTAAATATGTTTATCACAGTAATAATTACTTTTACTTATTACCAGCTGGTAACAAGTATTTGTTGGTACACAACACTGCAGCTTATTTAATGAAAGATGACAACATCATAGAAACTATGCTAAAACATCATGCTTCACAAAGTAAATCTTATGTATGACCTATCTCGTATGAATCTGGTTGTCGTATCTAAACCTACTTAAAAACAGTATAATTCTTACTGTCCGTGTTTTACTTTTTCACGCGACTTTGTTCTAGGGTGCTATTCCTTCCTTAAGACTCAGTCGAACAACATTTCAGAAAAATTCTTGTATTGACCTCAATATAATATCACCGGAAATTCATTTGAAGACAAAACACGAAAGTGTAAAGCCTATTTATTGTTTCTTCGTTCGTACCAACAATCAGTTATATCGTATTCCTTGTGTGTAGTTTTACCTCCAACATCTTAAGGTCAATAATATGAAAGAAAGAAAATATCGACAAACGGACAGACCGACAATCAGAGACGGACAAAGATTGCGACTCACCATAGAACCAGCCGACGACGAGGCACTCACAGATGGCAATGATGAAGAAACAGTAAGCCGTGGCGTACCAGTCAACCAATACAAATATGTACATTCCAGCCTGTAAACATCCATATAGAAGTGGTCTTAAACTCATGATTTACATCTTGTACTGAAGTGCTAACTTCAATCTTAATATCACTGATGTCATTTGAATCCCGATAAGTGTTACTAGAAAGAGTAATGTTTCTAGTAACCAAATTTCAAACTTCATGGCATTGTCAACTATTGAAGTAGGAATCTAAGGACATGTACATGCCAGAAATTTACTGATTCACGGTTGAAATTAGCAAATTTTATTTCTGTCTGCCCAAATTTCATTACATAAGAAAAGCTTTGTATAACAGAATTAACAATTTAGTCAACCACCAGAATATATAATAGGAATCTGAAAAATCTTATGTGTTGAAATTTTACAGTAATGTATTTTTGCATCCTTATGTTGCCATGGCGACCAAAATTTGATTTTTTTATCAAAATGCCCAATTGGTCTGCAGAGCTCATCTGGTATGTCGAGCTACATCCTTGGGAACATATCAGCTATATATATCCTTCTTCTAGGAAGACGCTTCAACAAAGGAACATACCAGCCAAATATCATCCCTCTATGCCTTATACTTCATGAGTAGAAGTCGTTGAAAGTTTTTAACAAAATTGACCCCTGTGACCTTGAATATATGTGAAGGCCATTTCTTTTCGCAAACTTTGTCGGGCTTCATTCTAGGAACATACCAGCCAAATATCACTCCTCTAGACCTTTAAGTTCATGGGAAGAATTCGTTTAAAGGTTTAAACAAATTTGACCCCTGTCACCTTGAATATATGTCAAGGTCAAACTTTGTCAGGCCTCATCCTATGAACATACCAGCCAAATATTAAAACATTTGGTCAACTGAGTATTGAGAAAAAAATTGGTTAAAGGAAAAAGTTGACGCCGGACGCCGGACGAACGATGGCCGATGGACGAACGACGGGCGCTGCGCCACAGCATAAGTTCACTTGGCCCTACGAGTCAGGAGAGCTAAAAATACTGTGTTTATAAACAATTTAACTCGTAAAGCATTGAATGCAAAGTTATTTTATACACATTTTTAACTTCTTATCTATTGAAAAAGTTTTTTCAAAGTATTTTCAGATGTCAGGGTAGATAACTCAATCAGGAAGAAAAAACACAATAACAGTTTTGTTTTAAGTTGTTTCTTCCAGTATTCAATTATTTCTCTTTTTATGATAATAGCTGCACTGATATTTTTAAAATAATGATATAAACCGTGATCATATTGTTCATCAGATTAAAAATTAATTACATGTAGTTGAAATACAGAATTAAATTTTAAACATGTCTGTTCTGTATGTTTTTTAGTTGTCATGATGGCTAATACATTCAAACTTGGCTAGTTCCACTTTACTTATTGGAATTCATTTACTGTGTAAATTCAAAAACTTATGTAGAATCATAACAAACAGTAGTATTTTTAACATATTACTAAACAGTAGACACAACACCTCCTTATCTAGATTATGACATTTCTTTCGATCAATTTTTATTTTCCTGTCACCTCATAGGTTTAGCATTAGGCTTTTAGAACCACTGACGAGTCCTAGAAGGACGGAGCAGCTTTATGATGCAGTTTAATTCACTGTTTGACTCTTCTCTATCTAACTGTGATATTGTATTAAAAGGTACTATTCATTTGAGTGTCTGTTGTACAATCTTTAAAAGTGAGGAACAAGATATGACAAACCTGTAAGTTATAAACAAGACCTTGATTAAAGTTTAACTGCTAAATTGATAAATACATTGTATTCACTTACACCATCTACACAGCTACTTGGTGTTCACTTACCGGGGTGGCAAATACAAGGCTAAGTAGGAAGAAACAGACGAATACTGAGACCAGAAGTAGGTTCTTCCTTTTCCCCAGAGTCCCTGGGAATACATCCCGTAGACCTCCCAAAACCGTCTCTAGCTGAGCAAACTGTAGAACATATAATTACTATCTTATAAACGATACTACACAGTGGTAGGTATAACTTCCCACAAAACATACTGCTGTAACGACAGTATTATATCAATTTTTATGAATAAGACAATATACTCTAGAGACTGATCTTTATTATCTACGCTGATACTCAAAAAAGTGATTATACTCAATTAAGGAATATTTTCAAAAGTTTTTGACAGTGAAACAAACTATTTTAATAATGAGTGTGTTTAATTTTTCTACCGTTCAATCATAAAAAAATTGATGTAGTTACGACATGTTTTATTTTGATAGTGAATCCAAAATTACAACAAAACATACTCACTCTATAATAACCGATATTTTTTTCATTACAATGCACAAAAATACCTGACTGTCGAGACCCACAGCAATAAGCATGACAAAGAAGAGGACTGCCCACAGGTTGGGAAGGGGCAGACGCGATATGGCCTCGGGATAGACTTGGAATACGAGGCCCGGCCCTGAGGAGGCAACATTGTTTTAGTGTGCGGTCATGGCAATTACATCGCCTTCTTAATAATCGTATTCTGTTCGATACGCGCGTATGAAAATGATAATCACCTGATTCGGCCACATCTTCTATGGTACTACCAGACTGGTGAGCTAGGAATCCCAGGATACTGAATACCACGAACCCACAGAAGAAATTGCTGAATGTGTCCATGATGGAGACCAATGCGGCATCGCTGCAACACAGTAAATTATTCGTGGAATAAAATCTAAAAAATATTTAAAACCTCAACCAAATTAAACGTCTGTTACACAGAATATTATGTGATAAACTATTTGCTGTGATCTTCGCCATTTTGAAAGTGTTCCGTGTAATGTGATTTTTAATTGTAATGAAGTTTTCCCGCCATCTTACACAAATGAAATGTGATATCATAAGTACGTATAATGCAATTCAATATGCCATTTCATACGAAATAAAATAACTTTGAAATTGGGCGTTGAAACGATTGAACGAAAAGCAATGGCATCAACGTGTTATAAAAACACGTTGACTAAAACGGATTTATGGATAAACTTACTTAAAACTTTTATTGTTGAACTTGTTGTAGCTAGCCATGGTGATGACACCTCCCCAGGCAGGACCCAACGAGAAAAACACCTGCAGGGCCGCCTCGAACCACACCTTGAATATTACAATTAATCAGGATTTACATTTTGCTATAAGAAAATAAAAAAGAAGAAGAATGAAATTTGAAATAAAATAACTCGTCCGTAAATCTTTCTCAATTCCCCTCTTATCGATACTGACACATGAACAGTAAAACTTTTTCTAAAAAAAGAAGAATTCAACACATAGAGAAGAGTATACCCCATTTGCACTTTATAATAAATCATATATACCAATACAGGGTAGACATCCTTGCCATCTGTACTTAATTGCATTCCATTCCTAACGAATTGTATGTACCGATGTTACAATAACTTACACGACCTACATTTAATTTTACCTGGAAATTTAGCAGCTTGGAGAAATCTGGTTTTATGAAATATATGACACCTTCGAGTGATCCCTCTAGCGTCAGACTGCGTATCAGTAGCACCAACAGGAGAAAATATGGCAGAATGGCCGTGACGTACGCCACCTGGCGGAGAAACACACACGCGTAAAGTAGATTGCATCTTACACTGTTACAAGTTACGATATCCATATCTTCGTAGGGCAAGATTTCACAAATGATGTCAATCGCTTTTTAAATTTTTTTTTAATTTTTAGATTTCTTAAAGATCAGGGTATGCCTCCTGACGTTCACTTTAATTCATTTTGCAGTACTAAAAATCAACAGTATCGCATTTCGGTGTGACAAAACTATAAAAACATAATTTAGTGGCCCAATAATCTTCGAACATCGTCCAACATATTGAATGGTCAATTGAAAATCAGTAAAGGTAACATGCTTTCCTTCTAAATTTGTCATCAGAGATGGATTTGGTGTAAACCTTTTTGTCTTACCTTACCGGCAGAGCGTACACCTCTCACCACACAAAGAAATGTAATGACAGCCGCAAGGAAAATGGTGACCACCAGGTGCCACTGTGGCCCTCCGACCTGGTCAATTCCAGGGGATATACCCAGGATACCGTACCTACCAAAAATGACATAGACAGTCTATCAATTTTATCATGAAGAAAATAAGAAAATTTACGACACTCTTCAACACATCGATAGCACGAGCTCGAAGGGATGTATTTGTACATTTTACCAGACAATTTAGTCATTAAGTAAAGTCGAATTAGTCTAGGCAGGTAGAGAAAAACATCCCTCCTAATAAAACAATGCAGAGAATATCACTAGATAACGTTCATCAAAAGTCTACAGAAGTTAGCTTTTAGTATCATGGGATACGTCCACGGTGTTCTGTATAATGCAGATCCCGGCCAATGTATAGTAATTTTGTCATAACTAGTTTTAATTTGTTTACAATAGCTTGGTCATCGTTGTATAAAAAACGTGTACACAAGTGGAGACATTTTTCGATACAAGACTTGGACAGTACAGTGACCGAGGTATTTATCGTCCGTTTTTTCCGACCTTCCTTCTCTCTGTATATTACACGTCTAAGATTCTCCATGTCTAGCAGTTCGATATTTTGGAATTTACTACAAGGCAGGATGTGTAAGAAGAACGATGTGTAGGGATCTAAATAAACACCGTCTTACGACGACAAGAATATTTTTCGTCTAAAAGTCACTGGTAATTTGACTCAATTTTAAGTATCCTATAGGAGTCAAGGGAAAATTCCCTATCCATAGTTTCAAAATCCGACCGAATGTTTCTATAGTAATATATTGACATCGAATCCTACTGATACTCTTCTAAAAGATCACTGACCTCCATACTGTTACTACTTAAATCTAAAGGAGATTGAACTTTTGACTGGCAGTACATCAGAAGCATACCTCCAGAACTCTGTAGCCGCTGTCGGTAGGACTGGTGCCTTATCTAACGTAGCGTTAGAAGCAACAGGGACCTGTGACTGGGTCAGATTGGTGAGCGTTCCATTTAATCCAGTAGTGTTGGATACATTCTGATCTGTCAGTGATGAATTGGACGGTGCTGGCGAATTTGAGCGAATAACTACACACTCAGGAGAGTTCCAGTGATTGTCACACGAGGCCCAGGGTTGAGTCGGGTAGAATGAGTAGTAGAAATAACACAAGACCCACGCCACTACCAGGTTGTAATACCACGTCACAATGAAGGACAGGATCACCATACAGAAACCCAAACCTGAAAAAAATACGTTCTAAATAGCCTCGACAAATATCACGTTAACTATACTGGTACCAAATATGACTGCAAATAACCAATGTTATTTTATATATTGTGACATCCAGGTCTTCATCTAAATATCCTCCCGTATATCTCATAATACTATGGAAATATTGTATACTGCTGGCTATTTTTTATGAACTAATATATATTTAACGTTAATGTCAGTTTGTCGTAACATTACTACAACGTCGTACTCTATATAGTTCGCCAGTCAAATGTACACAGATCGCCTACCTTTAAACAGCGGACAGATGCACCAAACCACCAGGGGACTTTTCCCCGAAAACTGTCCCAGACATAACTCCATGTAGTACAAAGGGAACCCGCAAACAGACACGAAGAAGAAAAATGGTATCAAAAAGGCACCTGTAACAAGTCAATGTAGACATATTAATTCATAATTATCTCAGATCTTGAAGTCTCGTGATTACCAAAATATCACATCATGAGCTGTGAATGTATAGCTGATACCGGATAGCTAATTATCTTCATGGGTCGAAATTTGTTGTACCCATGTACCGCTCTGATACCATACAGTGTGATTGCCAGGATGTCACACAATGTTGTACCCATGTACCGCTCTGATACCATACAGTGTGATTACCAGGATGTCACACAATGTTGTACCCATGTACCGCTCTGATACCATACAGTGTGATTACCAGGATGTCACACAATGTTGTACCCATGTACCGCTCTGTTACCATACAAAACGAACATGGCTAAGGGTGAACATTTTGGTCTCGCCGTGGCCTTTAGCACTCGATAACTAATCTTTTCTTTTCCAACTGCTTTACCGATTGAATTGTAATGCTAACCATTTAAAGGATAGTTATTAAAACATGAAATCCAATGGTCCTGAATAGGTCGCTTTCTATACTTTAAAGTCCGTTTCCAAAGCATTATTTCTTAGCACGTTTGACTCTTGCGTTCTTAAAAAGATAGTCAGGCAGGTCCCGGCAAAAACCTTTCAAAAGAGCTGACCGTCTGGCTCTTCACAGAGATGCACTAAATTCATTTCTGGTGCACCTATATTACAAATACACGAAGTGATTATGTCTGTGCAGTAGTAAGACGTAGATGGTAAACAGGTAGTTTAATCAATGACATTTGCATCGTTTGAGGAATTAGCGCAAATAAAACAAACTAGATGTATCGGCGGAAAAAAAAAATAGGAATGCCTGAATAACAAGTAACAATTGACATTTCCGACATATCAAATGAACCCTGAACCTATAAACATTTTAAAGCAATGATACTTAAACCGAACATGGCCAAAGATGAACAAAAATCGTGAATCATGTAGCCCACCCCTCACCCCACCCCTACTTCCCCACCCCAACCCCTTTCCCAGTGGCCAAAGGGTATCGTATTCTCTCATTTTTTAAAAACTCTTTATATCAAGACGCACTTATGGTAGAATTATATATATTTCATGGATGGAAGGTTCTCAATATGCTTTATTGTGAAATTGTGAATTTAATTTAAGTTTTTTCACATTTCCTACAGGTTTTCCTACAGGTGAGAAGTAACTTTATCCAAGTTCTTTAAGGAAACTTACAGTTTTGAAGAACACAAACCGGATGGCAGTTGATGTTTTATATATTTTTCATATTTACATTACATGTACAATGTAGTTCTAGTTATCTTACACAGTTAATAAGATGATTTATGTAACTTATTAAGAACTCAAACGATATTTAGGCCCTAGGTCCTAATAGTCTATAGTGTGGATGGTCATTACTCTGTTAGATGTAAACCGAACTGGGTAACCCTGCAGGAAGGGTGTAAGACTACTGACTACCACAATTGTATGATCGAAGAGACAGCTTAATTTGGAATCATATTTGTTCTCTTCTGGATGCCTTTCTTCCTCCTAATGTCTCCCTTGCTCGGGCCTGTTTGAGACGTTAATTATACTTAAGCCTGTTTGAGACGTTAATTATACTTAAGCCTGTTTGAGACGTTAATTATACTTAAGCCTGTTGGAGACGTTAATTATACTTAAGCCTGTTGGAGACGTTAATTATACTTAGGCCTGTTGGAGACGTTAATTATACTTAAGCCTGTTGGAGACGTTAATTATACTTAGGCCTGTTGGAGACGTTAATTATGCTTAAGCCTGTTGGAGACGTTAATTATACTTAGGCCTGTAGGAGATGTTAATTATACTTAGGCCTGTTGGAGACGTTAATTATACTTAGGCCTGTTGGAGATGTTAATTATGCTTAAGCCTGTTGGAGACGTTAATTATACTTAGGCCTGTTGGAGACGTTAATTATACTTAGGCCTGTTGGAGACGTTAATTATACTTAGGCCTGTTGGAGACGTTAATTATGCTTAAGCCTGTTGGAGACGTTAATTATACTTAGGCCTGTTGGAGACGTTAATTATGCTTAAGCCTGTTGGAGACGTTAATTATGCTTAAGCCTGTTGGAGACGTTAATTATACTTAGGCCTGTTGGAGACGTTAATTATGCTTAAGCCTGTTGGAGACGTTAATTATGCTTAGGCCTGTTGGAGACGTTAATTATGCTTAAGCCTGTTGGAGACGTTAATTATGCTTAAGCCTGTTGGAGACGTTAATTATACTTAGGCCTGTTGGAGACGTTAATTATGCTTAAGCCTGTTGGAGACGTTAATTATACTTAAGCCTGTTGGAGACGTTAATTATACTTAGGCCTGTTGGAGACGTTAATTATGCTTAAGCCTGTTGGAGACGTTAATTATGCTTAAGCCTGTTGGAGACGTTAATTATACTTAGGCCTGTTGGAGACGTTAATTATGCTTAAGCCTGTTGGAGACGTTAATTATACTTAGGCCTGTTGGAGACGTTAATTATACTTAGGCCTGTTGGAGACGTTAATTATACTTAGGCCTGTTGGAGATGTTAATTATGCTTAAGCCTGTTGGAGACGTTAATTATACTTAGGCCTGTAGGAGATGTTAATTATACTTAGGCCTGTTGGAGACGTTAATTATACTTAGGCCTGTAGGAGATGTTAATTATACTTAGGCCTGTTGGAGACGTTAATTATACTTAGGCCTGTTGGAGACGTTAATTATACTTAGGCCTGTTGGAGACGTTAATTATACTTAGGCCTGTAGGAGATGTTAATTATACTTAGGCCTGTTGGAGACGTTAATTATACTTAGGCCTGTAGGAGATGTTAATTATACTTAGGCCTGTTGGAGACGTTAATTATACTTAGGCCTGTTGGAGACGTTAATTATACTTAGGCCTGTTGGAGACGTTAATTATACTTAGGCCTGTTGGAGACGTTAATTATACTTAGGCCTGTTGGAGACGTTAATTATACTTAGGCCTGTTGGAGACGTTAATTATACTTAGGCCTGTTGGAGACGTTAATTATACTTAGGCCTGTTGGAGATGTTAATTATGCTTCAGATGCTTTGTTTGATTCAAAATTTCCCTATATGGATATTTCCTTAATCGTCCGATTTTATCCTGGCTATCAGAATCTTGTTTGATATATGTCACGTGTTACTCACCTCCTCCGTTCCTCATACACAGGTAAGGAAATCTCCAGAGAACACCTAGACCTACTGAGTAACCAATCAGAGATAACATATATTCGGTTTTCCTCGCCCATACTTCACGTGTAACGCCTCTGCTGTCGTCATGGACGTACGAGTCACTACTATCAGAGTGTAATGGCTTTCCCTCTGAAGGATGTTTCAAGATCTCTGGGTTCATCTTCCTGAGAAAATCAAAACAATCAAATGTTTTATTTCTTTATCAATAGTTTGTGTGTGACAATAAAGAACACTTGATGGCAGTTGGCATGTTACGTTAAAGATCACTAATTAATAGTTTGTGTGAATATTCAGAACATCTGACAGCAGTTTGTGTGTGAATATACGGAACATTTGACAGCAGTTTGTGTGTGAATATACGGAACATCTGACAGCAGTTTGTGTGTGAATATACGGAACATCTGACAGCAGTTTGTGTGTGAATATACGGAACATTTGATAGTAGTTTGTGTGTGAAAATACGGAACATTTAAAAGTAGTTTGTGTGCGACTATACAGAACACTTGATAGTAAAATCTGTGTGTGTCTAATGAACAGATGGCAGTATTTTGTGTGTGACTTGAGAACAGACAACAGTAGTTTGTGTGTGACTAGAGAACAGACAACAGTAGTTTGTGTGACTAGAGAACAGACAACAGTAGTTTGTGTGACTAGAGAACAGACAACAGTAGTTTGTGTGACTAGAGAACAGACAACAGTAGTTTGTGTGACTAGAGAACAGACAACAGTAGTTTGTGTGTGACTAGAGAAGAAATGACCGTGGAGGCGAATGCATGAATTGATTCAACTTAATTGTAATTTATGAAAAACTGTTTAACTCAGATCATTTACACATATCATACTGAATTCAATTTTTAAAGTCGCGAAACACTTTAAATCGTGTCGGTGAAGCAACCGCTACCGGATGTCGTCATCTCCCTATTCTCGATACAAAGGACGACTTATCATTTGCAACTGAGCGAAGAGAGACAACTCTTACATCTATTTTTGACGACAAACTATCCTCGAAGTCCAGGATTTGAAGAAATCCTTTATGGAGAGTAATGGATAGAGAATTAGGATCTGCATTTTAGTAAGATTGGTCTACAAACAAATCAACATGATATTTAATTTAAGTTTATATCACATATTTTTTTATCTTACAATACAGCAAATATACACAAAGATTATTATAATTTTGTATTTATCTAATTGAACGAAATGAAGAGTCACATTCGGCACAAATTACATATGGTTTAGATTAAAACATAATGATAATTCGACAAGACCGTATTCATCTTGAAAACGCTTAAAGGAGAAATGTATCGAAAAATAGCATGATAAGTCCGTTATTAGGCACTGGTTTATTCGAAGTATACTATATTTTGACAAATTAAACAACACAGCAGCCTCCAAGCAGGGGTAATTTCCTTCTAGGCACGTAATTTCATTACAAGTCATACTCGCCAGCCTTACCATGGTTTTATAAAACATGAAAATGTGTTTTAGTGTTACTGACACAATGGAATATAATATCTCCTTTGTATAAATAAGATTTTTTTTATTGCTGATGACGGTGAGCAAGTTGGCTAAAACTTAAATTTCTCTTTTTCAAATACACAAAAAAAGCTGCTGCACTCGTGATAACGTTTTTCTGTCTATGAATTGTTTCAAACCAACGCCGTGCCAATCCTGCTCATTATATGTAACGTAACCTCAAAACATTGTTTGTCCTAGTTTCAATTATGTTGTAAACTAAAACACACTGCCTCGAATACGTTTAGATTTCAGGAGCGAACCACAGGACCCTTTTTGCCGTTAGAAAGCTATTAACTCCATGATTTCTTTGACAATGTCCCCACCCACCCTTAAAGGATTCTACTGTTACTCCGGGTGACCCAGTTCTCTCCGTGTCAACTGCAGCATTTTTTTGCATGTGTATTTGTCGCCTTGTTCGCCGTATAAACAGAATACTGAGAAGAGATTTCGTGCCAGCTAGTGTTTTAACGCACGAAAATATCTATTATTTTAGGTCAGATTCAATGCGCTGTGTGTGCGCTCGCGCTGCTTTCAAAGGCACACACGCGTATGCGATACGTTAGCGCCTTTGTTAACAGTACAGATTCGCCAGAAATAGCATTTAGAAACGCGAAAGCCTTTGAAATGACCAGTCCGAGCCACTCGGTCTTCCATTAACAGGATCTCACTAACGGACCCAATAAGATATGGAATTCTATTTACTTACCAAAAGACACCTTAGTACACTCTCGGACTTCTCCAATATGAAAAACAGCATCTATCTCCCACTTAACACGGCAACTTCAAATATTTTACACATACACTTCTAACATCCACTCTGAAACAGGCACGTTCGCATAGGTTTAAGTATTCATTTGTTATGATGAGGGTTTTGTCAAATGAAAGCTGGGCTTTTTTCTGACAGTTGTCCATTATGCATGCTTTTTTCTAAATAAGTATACTATTGGCTAGATCCCTGGTGTAAACGTAATTAATTGCATTAAAAATATTCACCCATTCCTCAGTGTCACAGGCGCGTTCGCATGTAACTATCCCGGGCTCCCCCGCACCGAGGTTAATGGTACAGAGAAAAACATAACCGTGAATCACTTTACATGTGGTATAACGTACAGACTTTTCCCTTTTATGATATACAGACTCCACATTACTACATACAAAACCTCTGCCTTACCTACTACAACACACATACTCTTTACCTCTCTGTATATTACCACAAGTACTATCAACTACAGTTGCCGGGAAAAGAAGATAGCAGTACAGTCACGAAAAAATCATTTCCAATGCAACTTGTAATTTTAAGGATGTATTAAAACACATTAAAAAATCTAATCGTTTTATAGATCTCAAATGATCGGAAACATTTTGGCAAGACCTGTTCACTTGTAGATATGAAATAGACTACTTGAAATGCCATAGAAAAATAAGAAAAGAGCACCAGAACAGTAACCCCGTGCAATAACAGGATGTAATGAGGTAATATACTCGTTATTATTATATTGTTGATAACAACGCAACCCCGGATTAGTATATTTAGAACAATAGCTGAAACAGCAGGATAGAATAGGTATATCTAGCAAATAAGTGATCATAAAAGTCACGAAATATTTGGAAACGATGACACAACACACAATATAATTCAATTTTAGTGTCAATTTATAACCGCGTAATAAGTAAATAAGTGAATAAGTAATTGAAATTGATGGCAACCCCAAACATCAAATCACGTTTACAACAAATTCTACAGGAATATATATCAGACATGGTTCATACTGACTGTAAGCCGAAAAACCTCATTATTCTATACCCTAACCTGTTCACTGACCAACCATATCAGATAGAAAATGTTTGCTATTCTACACTGCACGGAATCTATATCGGAGAGATGGGAGATGTCGTCTGTGTGTGTATTTCCACATTAAAACAATGGAGTTACACAGCAATACGCGTGTTTAGTAAAATCTAGATTTATTATCCAATTTGCACCATGAATAAAGAGCTTCGTGCACACCAAAATGTTTTACGTAAGTTGTAACTACGACCGACCGCTATGTTTCAATATAATGGGTTTGTGTCAGCTTGGACGGTAATCATCTACATGTATTATACATGTCAGTGACATTTTACCTGGAGACAGGGTTATTTTTACCACAAAGCGTATACCAGGCCGCTACATTACTGTCAGGAAAGTCTTTAAGGCGGTGACTTGGTATAAATAAGTCTATCCCTAATTATATTTCGCTAACTTCCGAAAAATGCCTAATATGGAAGTACCATTGATTACAATCTTTAAGTCTTTAATAGGCATACTGGGTAACTCTACGCTCGATTGCTCCACTTAGCTTTTCCATAATTCATATTCAGTTTTGTTTGCTAGGTTTATAGTCCCATGGTTTGGATGCTAGTCATCATTACAGAAGCCGGTACGGTAATCTAGAGTTATCGGTATTGAAGAAATACTTAGATATTCAGGTTTAAAGGTAACTGCGACAAAAAAGTATCGCCTTAAAATTAGACGAGATAATAAGTCAGAACAGTGACGTCACAGTTGGGTGTAGGCCGAATTGTCTTGATTGTGACGTCACCGCTGGTCCATAGATACGTGTTTTCGGGATTCTGAGTTTGGCGAAGCGGAATTAGCCATGCCAACAGAAGAGAATGTCGGTGTGGAATGAAAGGTTTCAAACACTTGCTTCTGACGATCTGACTGATCGGACATTACCGAATACCGCCGAAGTTTTCAGGCCGGAGAACGTTCGTCTGAAGGATTCGAACGATGGAGTTTTCCGAGAAGAGAACGCCCGTCTGAAAAAAGAAAACGAAGAGCTACGGCAATGCTTGGTGACCATGAGTGAGAATGCCACCCGGAGGACGGCTCACGTACTGGCTAGTCTATTGGTCTGGAGTGATGAGCAGCTGACTGGTCAGGCCAATAGTATGTAAAATTCTCACCTTAAGAAAATATGATGATGTTATGTTGCAACGGAATACTTTTAATTAAGTTGTAATCCTAGTTTTACTGAAGTGTATATTATAGCCAATATTTCTTAAAAAATAAAGCTTACCTGGTTACTACCTCGGTTAGATCCTCTCTCCAGTAACAGTGATGTGACTAAACTTTGCTGCAATACGACAGTTAGGATTTAGAGACTTGAACAACTAGAGGAACCTAAATATGAGTTAGTCAACATTGAATCATCTCTTGTAACAGATAACAATTTAAACAGGAATTCTGTAACATCAAGAATGATTGTAAGGAGAGAAGTAAATCGCTGGAACACTCCTCCACACAACAAGAAACACAAGCTACAAACTTTACCTGTCCCTTCTTGATAACTGTTGGCGTATAATCTCTTTTAATTCCAAGTTTTTAATACGCTACCCTGAACTATAAATATGTTTATATACTACTGTAATCTTACAACCAGATTAGTACATGACACGTTTTACACATTATCAAACATCTATTATAAATAGACCTATCATTGTCTGCTAGTAAGAAGAGGGGAGGCCTGACAGGAGAGAGGCTAATCCTCACTGGCGGGACGCCCGCTCTCTCGGGATTTTGTCCGAGCTAGTACAACTCTACTGAATTTTCGTAAAGGCCAGATTATTGCAAATGCTTACCACACTGTTGACTTCTTTAGTGTATATAGTTTAAATGTGTGTTGTATATAGATACATATATCAAAAAATTAAAATACGTCAAACAAGAATTGGAATTCTTCATCATCAACCCTACTTTCAACTACAATTCAACTTTTCAACATTTAACAACTTTTCACTTTAGCACACACCGTGAATAATGACAATCTAGAAGTTCCAGCTAGAAGAACAACTAGTAACGATGTCGAAAAAAAATAAGAACATAAAAGAAAGTCTTGTGTTTGTTTCAATTTTAGAGTTCCTCTCATCAGATATACTGAATAACAACGATACAAAATTGAAATCGTCATCACGTGTCAGTCCGTTCAGGCCAATATCGCCGGGACCAATTCAGCAGATCCGCCCTATAAACCAGCAAGTTCCAACAGGGTCGAAAGGGAATACACATAACAGTCAGATTAACCGAAACGTGTCTGTTCCAAATCCACATGGTCAACATTCTTCTAATCTGGTTCACCTTGACAGCCACTACACGCATAGTCCAAGTAAGGAAGTAAAGCCGTCAACACCGACACCACAGCATGGCGATAGAAAAAGCGCTCAGTATTTAAAAGCCTCTGGGACGTCTCAGAAAGACACCCCTCGCCGCTATTCCCCTAGTAACTACACTGATGATGTGCCTACCGTAAATGTTGTTCCCAGCTCACCGTCACCCGCTAATAATCGTCAAATATCTCGAAGTCCTGTTCCACCGAACAAATCTCCTATACCACGAAATGGACCCTTCAGCCAGCCCTCTATCTCGACAGGAGAGGCGAGGAATAAAGTACTCACCCCTACCACTAACAGAGGAAGTGTGCAGTCATATAGAGAAAAGGGAAGTTCCAGCCTCGGAAATACCACAGGAACTAAAGAACGTCCGAATCTCCGAAATTCCACAGATTCTAAGGAAAGTCCCAGTTTCCGTAATACCAAAGAGGTTGGAGCAGATGGTATATCAAATCAAAGATACCCGGATTCGGCGTCGAGCATTGACGATGGCCTGGAATATCTATTATCGCGACAAATAGCCCCTGGGGAGTATACATCTAAGATTGCACCAGGTCAAGGTCAATATCAATCACGCTTTGAGATGCCTGGGTCTTCCTTCAGTGTAGGCGTTGGAGACAGGCGTGTCGCGGTCAGTGGAGTCCTTGATCAAACCAGAAGTGAGGGATATGGAAGTGTTCCGTCGAGTCTTGGCCAATTTGGCGGAGATCAGTCTGAACGTGGTTATTCAGATGGTATCCAATATGATTTAGGCGTTGGTCAAAGTGCTGGAAGTTCCGTTGGAGCACAAAGCATTCCTGTCAGCGTTGCCAGTAAAGCTGTAGGCGACCCGATAGCCACGTCCACGCCAGTCAGACCAGCAATGCCGGGTAGCACTGAAAACGCTGGCCCATACACAGGTAGGTTTTGGTTAAATGTAACGAGTAGAAGCTTACTCAGTAGCTCTAAATCGAAGTAAAAGTAAACGAGGTCACACAGATGTCGATCATTCTAAACGTATATTAGATTGCACTGGTTCCTGTGTCCCAAGTGAAAATTGAATATCAGTAAATTTAACCTTAGCTGTTATTGCTAAAATGTTTGTCTTATACCTGTCCCGCGGAATCTGTTACTTCATACTGTGATTAAATTTTGAAAGAGATGTTTACACTGTCGCAGATTCTAATGAAAGAGCAACCCAAATCTTAATGATAATACATTGACAGAGCAATTATTTCAACTAAATAAGATCTGTAGAGATAGAGAAAAAATGGAAAACAGAATCTCGTAATTACGTAAGTTTGGCGAGAAGGAAGCGAAACAAGCCACATACCGATATCGATGTCTTGCGCTGCATTGTATTTTCTTCTGTAGAACTAGACCGCGAGCGCAGCCATGTTTTGCGTTTTATCGTTTAAGGGATATCAGGATAAAAACATTAATTTTGTTATTGAGTTCTTCGTTCGGGAATCCCCTCTCAAATTTAGCGCTGATGAGGTTATGTAATAGTTTTGAAAACGAGGCAGTTCGTTTTGTAAACACGAACACACGATGCCGTGCCGAAATGACAGGGGCAGTGGTGACACAGTGATTAAAATCCCTTTTTTCAGCACCGGATTTTGTTATTGGTGTAGCAAATGTTATTTGATAACTCAAAGTCTATTCAGAATTAAGAAATAGGTGACATTAATCGCCAACATCCTTGCGACTGATTTAGGCGGAAAGCCAAATTGTTGTGAGGCGATGGTGCTATCATATTTGACGCAAAAATTACATATTGAGACTGTTGACCAACAGATAAGGATTTCCTTTTTATAAATAGTAATTAACCTCTTTATGTGCATATTTCAGCGAAAACCAACTGTCATTGCTCATAAGGTGATACACTTGAGATATATATATATATTCAATAACAATAAAAGAAAATAAATAAGTAAAAAATCTCATTGTACCCTGAGATCGCATTAAGGAAGTCATTTATTTCCAGACCCAAGGGTTCACTTACAGAATGCAAAACAACGATACAACACCAGTATGAAAAATCACAATCACTTATGCATGTAACATAGACTAAAGATTTGTTTGGGTAATGTAGGTAAAACAAGAGATAGAAATATTCTTTAAATGTACTTTGAACTGTTCTAGATATAAACAAAACATAGTACAGACTTGTGCGAAATGAAGAGAGCTAAAATTCTGTTTAAAACACTTTGTAACGTTTATTCGACTTTTCTGGCAATCAAATTGATTAAAACGAATTGACCGCAAATACGACCAGGTACTGAAAAACACACCTGGCCCCACTTGTATAAAACACCTCAATTTGAGATTTCCTCAAGTCGAGATTTTCCTAAGCTGATATCTCCTACAAAACGGCTTGTATAAAATTTTCTCAAGGAACAGGAGGAAGGCATCGGCTAGGATGTCCTGAAATTCCTTGAGGAATTTTATACAAGATAGTTGCAAGGAGATATTAGCTGAGGAAAATCTGGGCTTGAGGAAATCTCAAGTTGAGATGTTTTATACTAGTGGGGCCTGATTGATTAAATATGGGCAGTCAAAAGCACTATTTAAATATTTGAAAGAAAGAGATTGTCTAAAAATCGCCCGCCTGTGTTTGAGGCCAGGAAGACTAGATGTCTACAAGTGTCAGCGTATGACAGGGAAGTGGAGTCAACCTGTGCCTTAAAACAAAAAAAAAAAACAAAAAAATCAAAAATCTTTGTGCTGGACTATTTCCACTTGGTAAATTAAGAAGTTTGCTAAGGATACCAGATCTGACAACAACATTTTAACTGACTCCTGACAAGACTTATATATAAAGACTTTATAACAGATGTTTTTTTTTTTATAAATGTCGGCATTATTTACTCTCCAGTTTGGATCACTATGTAAAGAATAACCGCACAACTGTTTCGAAGAAACAAAAACTTATATTTGCGTTAAAATATGACCATCCTTGAATTAGAAAATCATGTAAAATTTGACAACAAACACCGTATGGTCCTTAGAGGAGAAAACAAATACCCCAAATGGGTGGGGAGCAGACAGGCTATCGTCATACAGTTATGTGATTGACAACTGTTAGTTCTGAATGACTTCTTCACTTACCGGACAGTTCGTTGGTCCTGTGCCACTTCCTCGCTCGCCGACAGTTGGCACTCAGTGACAACATAGCTTGTCTGATAGTTGGTCCAGTGTGACATCATAGCTTGTCTGACAGTTGGTCCAGAGTGGCGTCATAACTTGTCTGACAGATGGTCCAGTGCGACATCATAACTTGTCTGACAGATGGTCCAGTGCGACATCATAACTTGTCTGAGAGTTGGTCCAGTGTGACACCATAGCTTGTCTGACAGATGGTCAAGTGCGACATCATAACGTGTCTGACAGATGGTCCAGTGCGACATCATAACTTGTCTGAGAGTTGGTCCAGTGTGACATCATAGCTTGTCTGACAGATGGTCCATCATCAACTTGCGACATCATAATTTGTCTGAGAGTTGGTCCAGTGCGACATCATAACTTGTCTGACAGATGGTCCAGTGCGACATCATAACTTGTCTGACAGATGGTCTAGTGCGACATCATAGCTTGTCTGACAGATGGTCCAGTGCGACATCATAGCTTGTCTCAAAGAGGGTCCAGTGCGATATCACACCTTGTCTGACAGTTGGTCCTGTGTGACATCATAACTTGTCTGACAGATGGTCCAGTGAGACACCATAGCTTGTCTGACAGATGGTCAAGTGCGACATCATAACGTGTCTGACAGATGGTCCAGTGAGACACCATAGCTTGTCTGACAGATGGTCCAGTGCGACATCATAACTTGTCTGACAGATGGTCTAGTGAGACATCATAGCTTGTCTGACTGATGGTCCAGTGTGACATCATAGCTTGTCTGACAGATGGTCCAGTGCGACATCATAACTTGTCTGAGAGTTGGTCCAGTGCGACATCATAACTTGTCTGAGAGTTGGTCCAGTGCGACATCATAACTTGTCTGACAGATGGTCCAGTGCGACATCATAACTTGTCTGAGAGTTGGTCCAGTGCGACATCATAACTTGTCTGACAGATGGTCTAGTGCGACATCATAGCTTGTCTGACAGATGGTCCAGTGCGACATCATAACTTGTCTGACAGATGGTCCAGTGCGACATCATAACTTGTCTGACAGATGGTCCAGTGAGACATCATAACTTGTCTGACAGATGGTCCAGTGCGACATCATAACTCGTCTGACAGATGGTCTTGTGTGACTTTCCCATTCGCCGAAAGTTGTACCTGTGTGACTACTTCATCCAACAGACAGTTGGTCAAGTGTGACTTCCTCGCTCACCGACAGTTGGCCCTCTGTGACTAAATCTTTCGTTTAATAGTCGATCCTATATAACTACCTCCACACCCATCAGTTGGTCTTGTGTGTCTGTAATAGTTTTATAAATATAAGCAGGTTCTAGTTTTGTTTTGTTTCTGTATTTTCAGATAGTTTAGAGCAGAGCCGAAGTTCGCAACAGCAGTCTGACATGGCTTCTCGGGTCGCAGGTACCAAACCTACCACATCATGCTTGTGATAAAACTTATAGTATAATATACGGTAACTGGATTTGGTTTTGTGTGGTATTTTAGCTTATAATCATATATTTGATACATGTAAACAAAAAATTGAATTATTTTCTTTCAGCTCACAGCAATGTGCTACACCGTCCAATTGACAATGTGATGGGGTTTAAGCCCACTCTGACGGAGTCTCGTTGTCAGAAACTGGCGAAAATTAAGTCCAGTAAGAGATTGATTGGGGAGATAGCTTTCCAGTTGGACAGACGAATCCTGGAGTATGTATTCTCGAAGAAATTTGTGCCCGATAAAGAGAACCGTAAGCGATATTACGGATATAGCATTTCCAATGTGGGAGAGATGATACGGAAGGAAGCCATGGATGAACAGGGAAAGGTCAATGTCAGAAAGGAACTGGAGATGCGTTATCGCTTTGACTACATCATGAAAACGCTTTCATCCTTCGGTTACATCCTTGATAGACATAGTCAGTTTGCTCAGGACATGGTCAATAAGCATGGTTTGCTGAACGCTCCTCCAGACAAACAGACTGTGAAGGTGTTCGGCCTCGAAGATCCAGTTATCCTCCGTGTCCTGTTAAGTAAACTGTTACGAAGCGATGTTGAGCTGCAGGACGAATTGGTGTTACTAGACTGCCTCTGTTTACTTGCGCATGACGACCGGAAGCCAATATTTCTATGGTAACCTGAAGCTGCAAAGCCGTCATTTTATGGTTCATGAGGTGGAAATTGAAATCTTAGTTGATTTGTAAATAATGTTATATCACAGGAAAGCAAGCATCCATGTTTGCAATTTTGAAAATAAAAGATATTTGCTAATCATGATCAAGTGTTACATTAAAATATATTGAATTCATATAATTCAGCATGAAGGCCGTTCCCATCACTCTAATGAAACAATAACAATTCAGAGCTTAATGATCGGTCGTATACTTAACATTTCTGTTAGTCAGTATTGTAGCTTACTGTAAATTTTGTAAGCCCTGATGGAGTGGACTTGCTGCTACAAATGCCATCAGTTTCGCCACCCACTGGATGTTTTCAAATTACATCCTTGTACAAAATTCAAGGAAATAATTGCTAGGGTTTATCTGATGAAGTTTTTATCCATGTTGAGGAGTCGCTCTGGCGTTTGCCTATACAAGTATAACAATCAGATGTGAGCTGCAAAGGTTGGTTAGCCAGACTTGTTCAATAGAGGCTGCAATAAGCAGACACGGTACAACACAGTACTGGGCAATACCGATAGTTCCGGCTAGGTCAATAGTTTCCTTTACAAAGAATTATCAGGGATTATGATATTCTGAAAATCAGTGTTATTTCCTGAATATGAAATTGTTAGCTTTGCAGTTTATGTCGTAAACATATTCTTCTGTACGCTTGGTCGAGGAGTTACGTTAAGCCAATTAAGCACGTTGGCAGCCAAACTCTGCCATAGGCTACATATTGTAGTGTAATCTAAACTTTCTGCCCTGCGGGTAAGAAAGCCACACATAAGTTATTTCTAGCGATGACGTTAAACGCGCAATTGGTCAGTTGCAAGCTGGTTGCTATGAAGACGATATTGCAACAGAATACTAGTGTCGTGTGTCGACTGTCTTTCTGCTAAAGTATAGACTACAGCAGGAACAACCGACGTCGTAGAGAGCGTCTATGAGTTACTACGTCAGCTTACGTAAGAGATTTTCAAGGGATGCAACTGGAATTCACAAATCTAGGATCAGTTCCACCACTGAGTAGGGCTGAGATCAAGAAGACCTTATTGTAAACCAAGGTTGATACATCCACCAAGACCTTAACGTTCATACAACAATTATCTTTTTGAGGGAGAGGGACTGTCATCGTGTTTTGTCAACTGATAAAAGCAGATTTTGCATTGAAGACGCTGACAGATGTCTACGTGTCTACCGACGTCAGTGGGGAAAGATTTCGGAATGGCTGTGTCTTTCAGAGGGAGAGATGATAGCAGTACCTCGGTCATCATTTGAGGCGGCACATATGCATTCAACCTGTATTACTACATCTCCGCGATGGTGGGCGATGGTGGATGTGGATTAACAGAAAAACTTCACATTGGTTAGGTTCTCAGACTCAATGTCGTTCATTTCTTCTCTCAGCGTTGGAGGATTGAATCGTAAGATAACACGCATCCACATACCGTAGGGTTATCCCAAACCTTCTTATGTGCAAACGGAATCCCAGTAATGGCCGTTATTGAGCATCTATGGATTAGCATGGAATACGGATTCAGAGCAGGCAACAGCCACAAAAAGAGAGAGAAAGTGAAAGGGCGGGACCAAAAATAATCAAATTGATTGAAAATTCAAAAAATCTTCTTCTCATTACACAGTTATGTCAGAATAAAATACTCTTCATGGATGGAAAAGCTTTCAGGTGCTTTACTAAAATTTGTAAATTTCATGACCTCAGGGTCTCACATTTCCCCCAGGAGAGGGTAAAGTTTACTAATGTTTATTTTGGAAAAAAACTATTTTTAACATAACTTATTTATTTTCTATTGGAAATAGTTGACCTTGGCCGACCCCCAAGAGCTGGTCAAATTGTCTGAAATTTGAAAAAAAATTTTTCTTTATTGTTACTTTTTTTCTTCAAAATTGTTGCAAAATCTGTTCAAGATGTGTACATGTACAATGAGATATTTGTAGTCTAGTGAATGTCTTTCGACCATCTGAGACTGAGGTTAATTACTCATATGGCTTCTCATAATCTGATACAGTTTGACCAGAATCCATATTTTTTATGAACTGTCTTGGCTATTTCAGCTATCATTTTCTAAATAAATTGGAAACTAAAACAAACAAGTTGTAGATTAGTTTTGCCAGAATTTAAGAAAAAAAATGATACAGGGACCAAACATCAAGAACGGTATCACTAGGGATCTGTAAAAGACAGGAGTCACTTTTTCAGGTTATATTGTACATCTCTAATCACATTGAATTCATATGTCCCACTGCCTTTATTATGTAAAGATATCGTTATATCATCCCCACTCTTTCTGATGGAGTTCGATAGGAACTGATCCCTCGGACAATTGATATGTAATGAATGATAATCAGGTAGAAAACTGCAGTAGATTTGATTGGGGAAATATAGAAAATTATTAGGCCCATATTAGAATACGGGAACATTATCTGGGACAATCTAACCCAAGCACAATCCGATCTTCTGGAAATTATTCAGTTAGAAGCTGCACGCATTGCCACTGGTGCAACAAGACTAACAAGTAGATCCAAACTCTATGCAGAAACTGGCTGGCTTCCACTTAACCGAAGAAGCACACATCACAAGATAATCCAATTTCACAAAATGGTGCATCGACTAGTACCCCAATACCTCCAAGATCTGCTTCATGCACGTAACAACTTGACACACAGTCATAACACTCGCACTGCCAATAATAAATCTCCTGTCGCACAAGCCTTTATAAAAAGTCTTTCTTGCCTTCTGTAATTGGTCCATATAATATGCTGCCAAATCGTATAAAAGATGATCCATCAATAGGTAGACTTAAAAAACATGTAAACATGTCTAACATTAGAGTGCCGCCTTTTTACAATACTGGTATCAGAATGGGTCAGATTCTCCACATCAGACTACGAATGGAATGCAGTTTCCTTAAATTTGATTCGTATTATGTAGTGTTGCTATTAGACTTTTCACATTCTCGCAGCTTCTGCAGTTTATGTCTTCTTTTTGCAAGACGGGAAACTCCTCTCCCTCCTCCTCAACCTACCCTATCAATTTCTTTTCCAATTCTCTTCATTCCTAATTAGCCACATTTTTTGCTGAGTCTAGACTGTTTACACCGTGCCTCGTCAAATTTAATGAATTATTACCTTGAAGCGGTTTAATATAATTGTTTCAACATTTGTTTCCATATCTAATTCATTTGATATATTTTTATGCCACTGTACACTGCTTACATAATGAATGAATTTAATAAAGCTTATATCAACGCCTTTTGTTGTCTATTGGTAATAATTCAAAAATAATCATCTAATAAATTGATATGTCCTTGTTTTCCTTGTTTTATCGTAGATATTAAAAAGTTTTCCCTCAATTTTCAAATTGATACTGCTTTAGCAGCAAGCACTAGGTTTTTTCCTCCACCATTTTGTTGTATATGAATGATCTCCTTTGTAAATGTGTAGTTGTAATTCACTTGATATGCATAATTGACCCTTAATCCAGGTTCTACCTTATTCTTACGTAATATCATTCTCTATGACAACAATTTTTTCAGAGTTCATCCATCTTAAGCTTGAAACATATCACTCACGGAAATTAGCAGTAAAGTATTCTCAATATTTATATACAGTGTATTTTAAAAATATGTTTAAGCTCTTGCATTTTGAACCATGAGGAATTGTGTCACTACTGCGGTATGTTGTGCGATGATTCTATTACTATACTATTACTGCTATGGAAATATTGATATTTGAGATGAATTAAGGTGTCACTTATTTAATAAGTTGGGCATAAATTTCATGACGTGGTTGAATAATTTGTCAGACTTTGACTTAGCAAATACTTTCTTGGCGGGTCCTTTTGGCTGTGAAATGTTGAAAGAAGATTCGGAATATTTCAGACTTGCAAATTTAAGATTTCTGTATCAAATATTTAAAACTTCTCAATTACATTATTATGATTTGCTTTGTACATTTATACAACTCTTCTTTAATGTTGATTGTGTTTTAATTGTATTTATTCTTTTTATGTAATCTTGGAGAACATAAAAGGAATAATAATAACTTAATAATATATAATATAGAAATGAAATCATTCTTTTGATTTGATGTCAACAGAGGAATATCTAAGAATTTTACATGTTTGGAAAAATGTCAAGAAAACATGAAGCTATCTAAAAATTTAGAATTTGTGCATAATGTTGCATTTTTTTTTTTGCTGCTAAAAATACATAGCTTCAAGCTGATATGCTTTTGTAGTTTCTGACAACATCAATATTGACAGAAGGGAGATAACTCATAACTAGCCATTACAGTTTTCTTTTCACAACTTTAAAGTGACATTGTGAATTAAAAATTAATTAAAGACATAAACAAATTTTAAAATTTGGTGCAAATTTTAAACGCGTAATATTTCAAATTTTGGCAATAATTTAAGTGCATCAATGGAAAATATAGGAAAATGTTTATACAATAACTGTTAGCTTAAGAAGCACAATGGGTAGTAGTTTCATGTATGAGTTTGCTGAAGGTCAGAGGGGAAAATGCACAGATTTAATTTGATTTCTTCTAGATTTGTATATCCTATTTGAAAAAAATCCTTTTTGAATTTTCAATTTGACTGGAAAATCTCTAAAGTAAAAGATATTTGTAAGATAAATGTGTCTAAATCAGTTATGTAATATTTTGATGGTGACTTGTCAAACCTGTCTGTTATAAAATAAGACACCAGGGTCATTAATCATCTACCTCAGTTAATAGTTCAATTACAGCGTCATGTTGATTTTATTACAAAGAGGAGAATTTTGAAAATGATTTCCATTCTCCCATTGTCATATTGTGGGTTGGAGACCCTGAACATCATAATTGGCAATAATGTCATGATATTCAATGATATGACCAATTTTCTTGTTTGTACCAGGAATTTATAGATAATACAGAGATGCTATAACTTGAACAGAAATACAGAGAAAGGCAG